CGGGGCCAGCCGGCCCCAAGGCTGGCAGTGCTCACAAAAGTTGCTACAATAACTCTCCCACATCGACCTGGGCAAGCATGTAGCCCTGTCCAGAACTGGGAGTGCATTTTGAATTATTTTTTAAATATTTATTTATTTATTTTTGCCATGGGGCATATGCACTTGCCAGAGAGAGCGAAGGTGAAAAATCACCCCCCCGGGGGGATGGCCACTCTGCAATCCCTTCTGTTCCACTCTCCCCTGGGGCCCCTGGGCATGTACACACACACACCTGGTGTGATTCTCAAGCTGCTGGGTCCGGGACTCAAACTGTGGTCGGCCATGTGGGAGTCCAGTGCCTCAACCACCATGCCACCTGCTTGCCCCCTATTTTTATTTTTTTAGATAGGGATTTTCCTTCTGTATTGCAATTCCGCTGCTTCAGCCTCCCAAGTAGCTGAAACCCCAGGCATTCAGCACTGTGCCTGTCTTGTAGGGTAGGCTGGGAATTAAACTCGGCCTCCCATGTGGCCCAGCCTCCCAAACAACAGCATCTTCCAGCTTGTGCTACTTATGGCAGGGCCACGATCTGAATTTTAAAGATGGGCAGAGACTCTAAGCGAATTGAAAACCCAAAACCAATATCTATGTGCTCTGCTTGAAAAGGAAGTCAGTTTTATGTCCTGAATGAACCTGGGCAGCGCCACCAGGCTCGGCCAGAGGCCTGCCCTGGGCTCCGGCATTGCAGAGAGTGGCCCTGACCCACACTGTCCTGCTCTCGCTGGCTCTCTGATTTGTGTTTACTAGGTGTGGCCTCGTTGGGTCCCTCCCTAAACTGACGTTTTATTTGGGTTTTCACTAAAGTCTAAGTTAAGCAGCTGCAAAAACAGAGTCGGGGGGAGGACGGTTCTGCTTCCAAGGAGACCAGAAGGGCCTTCTCCCCATAAGGTTTTTAGGAGTTTGGGGGAGCAACTCCCTTCGGGTCTGGGGAGAGTTCTGACAGGAGATTGGGGGTAGAGCCCTCAGGGGGTCTCTGCAAGGTTGGCTCCTTCTCCCTCCTACAGGATGGACTCTGAAGGGCAGCACCAGCTCCTGCCCAACCCCTTCCTGCCAGGCCAGGAGCAGCTCCGGTGAGTAGCTGGGCCGGGGCTTTTGGGGAGGTCAGGCCTGGGCTGCAGACTGGCCTCCCCTGGCCTCATTTTCCACTTTCCTGACAGGCTCCTGCAGAACCACCTAAAGGGACTAGGGAGGATGGAAGAGGAGCCGGAGCACATGAGCCGGGAGCAGGGTGAAGAGCTGGGCTGATGGGGCCAGCGGGCGGGAGGCTCAGGGCCGCCGGAGCAGGGCTGACCTCCGGCCGCCCACTGACTCCTGCGCTCTGCACCTGCTCTGATGCCTCTCCTAACCCAGCTCTTCTTCCCCAGTCCTCCTCTACCTCGTTGCCCTCCATGACTATGACGGGAGTGGCCAGCTGGATGGCCTGGAGCTGATGTCCATGCTGACGGCCGTTCTGTCCCCTGGAGTTGCTGACTCTCCTGCCACCAACCGGGTATGCGCTGCTGGGGAGCCCCTTACTTCTCCAGGAAGGACATCCAGCTCCCTGGGCCTCGGGCTTTTCCGCTGTGACTCTTTCAGGAAATCCCCTGTAAAAGGAGGACTCGGAGCCTGCAGGGGAGGGATGCGAGTGTGTGTTGGGGGGTGGGGGTGGAGGCTCCTGGGAACACCTCTGGTCACTGAAGATCCCACAGAGACTCTGTGTTTCCACAGGTGATCCTGGTGGTGGACAAGGTGCTTGAGACCCAGGACCTGGATGGAGATGGGCTCATGACGCCTGCGGAGCTCATCAACTTCCCAGGAGAGGCCCCCAGGCCAGCAGAACCCAGAGAGCCCCCTGCCCCTGAGCTCCAAGAGCCACAAGCTGTTGGGAGGCAGACTCTTTTTGCTAAAAGACAGGAAACACAGGAAGCTCTGAGTCCCAGGGAAGATGTTGGGGGCCACATAGAGGCCAAAGGAGAGGCCCTAGAGCCTGTACAGGAGGCTGGCGGTCAGACAGAGGCTGAAGGAGTCCCAGGTCCTGGAGGAGAGGTTGGGGGTCAGACAGAGGCTGAAGAAGGAGCCCCAAGTCCTGGAGGGGAGGCTGGAGGAGAGGCAGAGTCCAGGGACAATGGCGAGGAAGTCCAAGAACTTCCAGGGGAAGCACTGGAGACTGAGGACACCCTGCATGAGTCTGAAGTTCACACCATTCAATTGGAGAATGACGAGATCTAGACCTCGAGGAAACGGGCCCGTGCCCCTCACCGGCTCAGTATCCCTCAGAACACAAGCCCTGAGGGACGGGGCGCGGACGCTGTGGCAAGGACCGCCTCTGTGGCCCCTTTCTGGCCCCCGCAGGTGCAATCATTCTGTGCAGCTCAGGGAGACCCGAAGTTGAAGGGCAGCTTTAGGGCCTAGACAACCAATAAAGACCTGAATGAATTTATCCCCCTGGGCTGTCTGTCCACAGTCCAGCCTACCCACACCCCCTCAGGGGCACAGCAGGTGGGACTCGACAGGCCTCTTAGTGGGACAGTTCTGCTCTCCCAGGGTTCTGGGCCCAGCAGTACTTAGTAGCAGGGTCTGCGGCACCAGCCACAGCCAGCTGCCGACAACCCCAGGAAGAAAGTGCAGTCCATCCCTGGGCCCCAAACACTCTCCCATTCTCCATCATCACTGGGGTTCCGGCGCTCCATGCCCTCCTCCAGCTCAGAGCAGATGGTCCCCACCGCCCTGTCTCTACCCCCCACAGTAATATTAATAATCACCGTCCCTCTGTGGCCCCTTTCTGGCCCCAGCAGGTGCAATCATTCTGTGCAGCTCAGGGAGACCCGAAGTTGAAGGGCAGCTTTAGGGCCTAGACAACCAATAAAGACCTGAATGAATTTATCCCCCTGGGCTGTCTGTCCACAGTCCAGCCTACCCACACCCCCTCAGGGGCACAGCAGGTGGGACTCGACAGGCCTCTTAGTGGGACAGTTCTGCTCTCCCAGGGTTCTGGGCCCAGCAGTACTTAGTAGCAGGGTCTGCGGCACCAGCCACAGCCAGCTGCCGACAACCCCAGGAAGAAAGTGCAGTCCATCCCTGGGCCCCAAACACTCTCCCATTCTCCATCATCACTGGGGTTCCGGCGCTCCATGCCCTCCTCCAGCTCAGAGCAGATGGTCCCCACCGCCCTGTCTCTACCCCCCACAGTAATATTAATAATCACCGTCAGGTTCTGAGAGCGGTGTGCACAGCTGGGCATTTTCTGTGTTACCTGGTTTTGGCTTCATTGTAACCTATGACCAGGCAGAGTTAGTTCCACTCAACAGATGGAGACACTGAAGGAGATCGAGTTAAGTCATGTACCCCAAGGTGACATGCAGCTTATTAAATGGCAGATTTGAGCTCAGGACTGCCTGCCTCTAAAGCTCTTCCTTGCACTACATGGCTTTACCCACCCTCCCCAGCTTCTATTTTGGAGTTGGTCCCCCAATTCCAACATGTCTCCTGGATCTGATGTCCCCCAGTCTCCTGGGTCATACTTGTGATGGAGGCATCACTTCGCCCAGGTGGCTCCTAGGGTGGGCTTTCGGGCTCCGGGGAAGCTATTTTTGGGCTGTGAAAGCCCCATGACATCAGAGAGGAGCTCCCTGCCCTGGCCTGTCAGCTTGGCTCAGCCATGGGGACTCCCAGTCTGGGCCGAGGGAATGGAATCTCTGCAGGCTGCAGGCCCTGAAGAGCTTTTCTCATGCCTCTCGTGATTTGGAAGTTTCGCTGGGTGCAAGGAGTTAAGCACCGTCTCCAGCAGACAGGATTAAGGTGTGTACCCACTCTCTGTGCCTGCTTTTCACCTGCACCCTCAGGACAGGGCTGGTGTCAGCCTGGGGTACTTCCTGCTGGAGGTTAATCTGGGGAATGGACAAAAGCAGGACCAGAGTGTCAAAGCCTTGGTAACCCCAACCAGTCCAGACATCAAGAAGGAAGAACAGACTGCCAGAGGAAGCCAAGGGGAAAGAGATTTATTTGTTCTGAGGTTCTGCAGGTGAGACGCTGGGGACACAGACCCGCACCTGCCCGAGGGGCCGGGCAGCCTGGATGCCAGGCTAGGCACATGGGAGGAGGCGCTGGCAGCAGCGATGCCAGCCTCCAAGGAGGTGGCAGGCCGGCGCTCCTGCACGCAGCTCTCACACGATGCCTTCAAAGCCCGGCAGGCCACACTTCTTGCCAGCCACCTGACAGCCAAACCTCAGGGCCTCCTGCATGCTCTTCCCTGGAGGAGGGACAGCAGTCAGGGTTGGTCTGACATCCCGGGCACGGGCAGGCCCCAGCCTTGCCCCTCCTGTTGGGGCACTCACCCTGAGAGAGGCTGAAGATGACGGAGGCGTTGAAGGTGTCTCCAGCCCCCAGAGTGTCCACCACCCGGGGTGGCGGGAAAGCATCTGAGTGGAGCAACTGGCCGTCGGGGCCCAGGGCGTCAGCACCCTCCTCAGCCCAGGCACAGACAAGCGTGGCCCTGCAAGACCCTCCGCTCAGCTGGGTATTTGGCTCCATCCCCCAGACCAGGCTCCACCACACACCCCAGGACCCCGTCCTGCTTCCTCAGCTCACCCTTTCCTCACACGGCCATACAAGCCCCTCAGGGCTTCCACCGCTGACTGAAACCCCAAGTGCTTGGCCACATCTTTGCTGACAAACACCTGTGGGCAATGAAGAGAGGCAGTGGTCATCTAACTAGACCTTCCCAACAGCGGCCTGTCAGAACGCGACTCCCCAGCTCAGCATTATAAATCCCCGATGTCACATCTCGCCGTCCCACGGGAACACGTTTAATACTTGCTTAAGACATGCCAGAAGGGCTAGCAGATGGCATAGAGGTTATACCACTGGACTCTCACATGGCAGACTGTGGTTTGAATCTCAGACCTGGCTTGCAAATCACCCAGGCACGTGTGCGTGCGTGCCCAAGATCCCAGAAGGAGAATGGAGAAGGGATTGCAGAATGGCCATCCCTGGAGGGGAGGGGTGATTTCTCTCTGTGCCCTACGGCAAAAATCTCTTAATTAAAAAAAAAAAAAAAAGACGTTCCAGAACACAACCTAGTAAACTGACACACAAGCCCTGGTCTGTTAGAAAAACAGGGAGTTGCAAACCCAGAGAGAGCCTTGAGCGCCACCTTGAGGTGAAATCCACCATGGTCTAGTCAACTGGGCCAGCTCTCGGGTGTTTTAAATTGTTTTCCCAAAAACAACTCTACGCTCTACGTCTGGCTTTTTCCTCTGTAAAGCAGAGGAGCAGGGATTGCAAAGCTCCCTCAACACCAGCCGTACAGTAGAATCTCCAGGGACAGTTGTGGTTAAAGAATACTGCCACCCTGGCTGACTCTCGCCCAGCAGAAGACACAAGGGTGGGCTCAGATCCTTTCTCACGGGTGCCAAGGTCGAGGGAGGACCAGCCCTGCCTGCCTTTACTTCCTGCAAATCTCATTTCCACCCCACCTCCACTCCCAGGGGCTCCCACAATCTGCCGTCCACACCAGAATTGGAAGAAGCCGCAGAGAATAGCTCTGCATCTCATTTTGCAAGGAAGACAGCCTGGATGCTTCCGCACAGGCTCGCCCTGGGGCTGTCTTGGCCCTGTGCCAGCCCTCTGGACACCCTTACACCTACACACCCACGGGGTGGAGAAATTCTGCTCCTTGGCCGCTGTGTGGCCCCAGGCTGGGGTCTGTCTCTCCACCTTGCCCTGACCTTCTAATACCACCAAGCCAGGAACAGCCACCCCAAGGGTGATAGGCAGGTCAAGCGGGATCTCTGGCTCCAACTGAGAACCAGAGGAGCTAGATGTGGTCAGGAGAGGCTGCATGGGCACTTACCACGTCTCCGTGGCCAAATAGCTGGAACAGCTCCTCCCGGGGCTTCTCAATCTCCACAGATACCCGGATCTTCTGCTCCAGAGGTTGCCTGGCGTTGTGCTGCTCTATTCGCTGAAGCATCTTCACCTGCTCCGAGGCGTTCCGGCCCTGGGGCAGGAGACCGCAGCTCAGGCAGGGCCCAGCTGATCTGGCTCGCCTTCTCTCCCAGCTGGGACCCTGGGAGAGGGGCTGCGGGAGGCCAGATGGAGCCCCACCTAAGTTCCCAAACTCTAGAGCTGTCAGGAGCCTTGGAGACCATGTCGACCAACTCTCCCATTTCACAGGTGACGAGACAAAATAACTAAGACTTTCCAAGGGATTTATAGGAAGTTAAATGACAGGGCTAGGGTTAGTCTTCTGGGGTGTTCCCCACCTCGATTCCCGAACTTCTCTCTCAGGAATAAAGGTTCTAGTGGCCTTTATTTGGGAACTGAGCCAGGCAGAGGTAACAGGTCAGGCAGTCAGTCTCCTGTCAGAAACAGAGGTGGAGGTGGGACAGCCCGCAGCACAGAAAGTGCTGGGCTTTGCCTGGAGCCGGCTAGGCCTACAGCCTGCTGTGTGACCTGGAACAAGTCGCCCAATCTTTCCTGGCCTTAGTTTACTCGCCTGAAAACATAAGGCCGGATGGAAAGGGGACGAGGGATTGAATTCCTTTATCTCCAAGGTACTTGATGGTTCAAAGAAACAAAGAAGGGGGCGGGACACAGGGAGGGGGTGGACAGGTTGAACCCCTCCAACTAGTAGGGCACAGCTTGCCTCAATGTGGATCCACTTGAACCGGGTCAGGTCGACCTTCTCAAAGTCTTTAGCAGACACATCTGGTAGGTTCCTAGGTCACAGATGGAAAGGACAGACAAGGGGCATGGTGAGGGTCAGCTGGGGCCTCTGCACCTAGCTGCTCGGGCCCCTGAACCAGGTGCTGCCGGCAGCATGGCGCGAACCTGGATCTCCAGCAGGATTCTCAGGCTCAGCTCCTCTATGGGCCCGAGAGCTGGGTGCCCCTTCCTGAGTTAGAGGTTGTAAATTCACCTAAGGGTAAATGTGTGGTGGGGCCAGCTCTGGGTGCCTTGGAGACTACATCTCCCAGAATGCTCTAAGAGTGCCAGAGACTGCACTTCCCAGAATCCCTCTTGCCAGCAGCATGCAGCTCCCAGCATACAGTGCCCCTGCAAACTACAAAGCCCATGGCTGCTCTACTGCAGCTCCTGGTGGTTCCACTCCGCTCATTTCTGGCACCCCAGCACCGGAAGCTTGCCTGTGGCACTCATAGTACCCCTATCCTGAATTTGGCAGCTCCCTGTCACAACCCTGAACTCAAAGTTGGCATTTGAGGGAGAGTCTGTTTTTGGCTGGCTTAGGCATGGAGACCCAAAGGGGTCTGCTTCAACCCTTTTGACTGGAAGAGCTGGAGCCCATGGCCTCTTTATGTTCTGTGGCTGAATCCTTCATTCACTTAACTAGCTGTGTGACCTGGGCCTTTCTGACACTGCTTCCCCATCAATAAATGGGGGTGAAACTCCTATGCTCACAGGCCCGCTGCAGTTGGTGGTAACGTGTGTGAATATTTTTGGACCAAGGCCAGTGGGCAATAAACAGTTCTCAGACCTGTCTCTCTCCCTCCCTTCCCGAGAATACCCATGTTGTGTCCTTGATCAAAGTTGCTACAGATTGTTGCTTAATGGGTAGATGGATGGGATTGCCCAATCTGAAGGTCGCTTCTAGCACATATGCCTGCCCATTCACTTATTGGCATGTACTGGGATGACTTTTTCCCTCCCCCACGTCCACTGGTCATGCTGGACAAGGACAGCCTGAACCCCAGGGCAGCTGGGCTCAGCCCTCCTGGTCCTAATACAGTCCCTGGCACATACTAGGTCCTCAGTGACTAAACCTCTGAGATAAGGGTCTAACCCTGAGTGGTCTCTCTTGACTTGTGTGTCTTTGTGTGTTTGTTATTGTGTCTAATCTACAGCCTTCCCCACTCAGAAAAACGTGTTCATGCCGAGCTGGTCTCGGCAGCTTGGGACACCGAAAGGATGCCCTCTCCACAGGCTGGCACCAACATCAGATGGCCCTGATCTGCTGACCCAATGTCTCCCTTCTCTCTCCTTCAGCTATGGTTGCAAATGGTGGCATGTTTGGCCTGGCTTCCCCATGCTGTGGCCTTTGGGGGCACTCATCTCTTCTGAACACCCAACCCCCAGTTCCTGGGTGCCATGCTGCAGGCTAGCAACTCTGGGGACGGCCCTAGATGTTCCAGGGGGACCCTCACATCTCCCACCCTCTGTCCTGAGAACAAGTCCCCCATGCCCCACCCAGGCTGCTGATTGACTAATTATGAAGGGATCACACCATGAATTATATTTCGTACAGGTCTGCCTGCCCTTCCTTGGTGCTGACCAAGGCCGAGTCACCAACAGAGCAAAGCCAATCCCCTCCCACCTCACTTGTCCCTTCATTGAAAACAATTCGGAATCATGGAACAGTTTAGCGCAGGGTCAATTTGTGGTGCCGAGAAGCCACAGAGTGGTGCCGGTGGTTGGACGCCCACTGTGGCAAGTGAGGAATCTGATTGGCGGTGCGAGGCCAGGGGGCCTTACGTGTCGTAGAGCACAATGGTACGGGAGCCATTGGAGTTGTTGACGATGCAGCAGGAGCAGGGGGTCTCCCCTTTGCTCTGCCAAGCCACCTGAGACACATCCACACCCCGCCGCCTGAAGTCAGCCACCAGGAAGCTTGGGGTGGAGCCCGAGCCAGGGAAAGGACAAGGAGACACAGGTTAGAGCCTACAAGTGGCCTGGATCCCCACAGGAGTGGGGCAGGGACGCTGGAGCACACAGGCCTCTGAGAGAAGGGTCCTGTTCTAGGAGCTTAGTGACAGGATGACGGCGGTGGCAGCAGCAGCTGGCAAGGTGCAGACAGGCATACAAACCTGTAGGCGTGTAGGATGGTGCGGCTACCGTTGGCTTCATTGATGATGACCGTGGATGTGGGGATGGAGCCCATGGTCTGAAAGACCGTGTAGCTCAGGTCCACAGAATAGCGGCGGAGGTCATCCAGGACAAAACTGCCGGGCGGAGCGAGCCGGGAGGCGCAGTTCAGCGAGAGTTTGGGGGACTGGAGGGCAGCTGGCAGGGCCACTGGAAGGCAAGAGTGCAAGCAGAGGGGCTCGGAGAGAACCAGGAGTCAGAGTCTTGCCACATGCTGGGCAAGGGGACAGGACAGGAAGGGTGCAGGGCCTGGAGCTCAGAGAGAAACACCAAGGGACATTCTTTTAGGTCTTGACTGAAGCAAAGACCTGCTGAGTCTGGAAAGGATTTGCTCTTATTCATAAAGCCAGACAGGGGTAGACAAGGGACCTAGGACCTGGACCCTGTTTGAGCCAAGCAGGTGGGCGATGCCATGGCCTGTTTTGTATAAGACCCAAACAGAATTAATCATTAATCTGGGGCTGGCAGGTGGTGCGGTGGTTAAGGGCACTGGACTCCCACTTGGCCACCTACGGTTCAAGTACTAGACCTGGCAGCTTAATTCCTCACTTTCTCTCTCTCTCTCTCTTTCTAATCTTTCCCTCTCTGGTCAAATTTAAATAAATAAATAAATAAATAAATACAGTTAAATAAATGAATTCTTTTTAAAAATGAATTAATAATTAATCCCCCAGAGACACTTTGTACACCCCCTGCACTGCCCTCTGTGTGCCCATCCCCACAGCGCTCTCTTGGGAGTCCCTTCCAGTTCAAATCTTGTGATTCCTGTCATGCTGTTTCCTGCCTCTAGGGTACCCAGCCTAGAGGCAGCAATGCCTTGCTGGGTGTACTCCTTGCCCCATCCTCTTGCAGCCAGGTGAACCCTTCCAGGCAAGGAGTTGGCGGCCAGTGCCTAAAGCCCTTCATTCCCGCCTGCTCTAGGACTCCTTCCCAGAATGCCCTCCACAGTAAGCCACGGGCCTCCCTGCAGAAAGACTGCACCAGCAGGAGGACCAGGAGGTCAGTCACTTCCCTCTCAGCCCTCTTGACAAATGCACTGTCTGTGCCCAAGACCTGGCAGTTATGGCTGGCTGTCCGGCCACCATCCAGTCCAGCTGTCCTTATTCTAACTAGACCTCACTCTCAGCAACACCAAAGTGGGACAATACGGATTTGCAGGTGCCAAGTCAGGCATGGTTGCTTGACTTACAACTCAAGGATCATTGAAATAGTTTTCTCAAAGCATCAGAAATATAGGTTGGTTTGCCAAGCAGATTTTTGTGCCCACAGTGCCTGGCACTAGTAGGTGCTCAGTAAATATTTGCTAAGCATGGGAGAACAACAAGTGACATGGGAGTTAGGGCGCTGACTCCCACATGGCTGACCATGGTTCAAGTCCTGGACCTGGTGACTTGTTTTCTCACTTTCCCTCTCTCTTTCTGTGGTCAAATTGAAACATAATAATAATAAATAAAATACAACAAATGATTCTTTTTAAAAAATGTTTGCTGAGCATGTGGGCAGAATCCTGAGCAGCCCAGTCCACCTCCAGCAGGAGCAAAGGGGTTCCTCAAGAAGGTTAACAAATGTCTAGCCCTTGACTCCGAGTCCCTCTGTCTCATCACAGGGCTGGTTCCTTCCCTCTGTTCACTTGTGCTGGTTCCTCAAGGCAGGAAATTGGGCTGCAGCTCCGGTAGCTGGGCTCTGGCCCCCTCAAACTGGGGTACAAAGGGCTGTGCTTCACAGGCCAGCAGCCTGGCAGCCTGCCCAGTGCCCGCAGTGGGCAAAGTGTGGGCCTCACCTCCTGATAAGTGCCTGCTGAGTCGGCAGTGCCAGGGGTCAAAGGGCCCTTGAGTCCTCGCAGCAGCCCACACAGCGTGGGGGCCACTCACAGGTTGTAGCCTCCACGGCCACTGAGCTGGGAGGCACAGGGTCTGGGCCCTGCTCTAGCACGTGGCTTCAGGGTGTCCTGGGGCAGGATACTCTTGCTGCTTCAGTGAACAACAAGGACGGGAACTCCGGCCCTGCCCCTTGGCTGGCAAATAAACTGTGGGCCTGGCCCAGGGAACACTGATGCTGGACATGGCTGGGTGAGGGCAGGAATGGTGTGGCCCTAACTGCCTTCTGCCTCAAGCACAGCAAGGGTCAGGGACTTGGAAAGGGCAAAGACAAGTCCACGGCAGAGAGCCGGAGGGAAGCAAGGAGGGAGGAGTGGGACGCCAGAGCAGGGAGGGGCCCAGAGACAAGCTGGAGAAGAAGCCTTCATGGAGCAGCAGCAGAGGTAGAGAGGTCACACCTGGGAGGCCCGGGCGTCTGGTGCTCCACTGCGCCCCCTTCCTCCCACTTCTGGTGGCCATCAACCACTTCATGTACCCTACCCACCCAGGTTCCGACCCTTCCTCTCCCCCACCCTGCGGGCAAGTACCCCTCACCCAGGGCCACGCTTCCTCCTGAACTCACTCGGCAACATGGCCAGGGGCCAGCGAGCCCATGAAGGCACACGGGGCTCCGAGCAGCGACAGCACGGTGCAGGAGTTGGATGCGTTGCCTCCGCGCTGCCATCTCTGGGACAAACACCTGCAAGGCACAGGGAGGGTTCCTGCAGCCCTGGCAAGGGTCCCCGGGATAAGGAGGGCCTGCAGGATATAGGCACCAGCCTCTAGGCCACCAGCTCATGTTCTAGATGGCGCCAGCTGTGGCTCACCGAGGGAAGGGGCTGGGCCTATGACAAGGTCTGTCTCTCAGTGCAGGCCAAATTCAAGCTCCCAACAATTACTTCCTACGTGTCCACCTGTCTTAGGGTATCAAGAAACCACCGAGTTGGACCCATCATTTGAGGGTTTCACCAACTCTGGTCATCGCCTCCTCAGTTACAATGAACCTCCTTTTCCCAGTCAGAGCTGCCTCCAGATGGCTGAGCCCTCAGTCGCCTCCTCGAGAGCTGCGTCAGCTCCAAGGACCTCGGAGACCAAGTTCCCATTCCCAAAGGCATTGCATTTACTGCCTACTCCTGGCCTAGAATTGACTTTAATAAAAACTGCAGGAGGCCAGCAGGTGGCATGGTGGTTAAGGTGCTGGATTCTCACATGGCCAACTGAAGGTCAAGTCCTGGACCTGGCTGCTTGAAAATCACACTTTGTGAGTGTGTGTATGTGTGTGTGTGTGTGTGTGTACACTATCTCAAAATCCCAGGAGAAGAAAGGAAGAGAAGAGATTGTGGCATGGCCATACCCCCAGGGGGTGATTTCTTACTTTCCCTCTCATTGTCTCTGTCTCTCTCCAGTGAATGCACATGTCCTATGGCAAAATCTTAAAAATAAATAAATAAATAAAATAAAAACTGGGGACCAGCAGTTGATGTAATGGCTATGTCGCTGGACTCCCACATAGTCGACCAGGGTTCGAGTCCCAGACTCGGTGGCTTAAACTCACGCTAGGAGCGTGTGCGTGTGGACCCAAGATCCTGCGAGGAGTATGGAGTCTCAATCCCCAGGCATTGTGGTGTGGCCATCACCCCTGTCAGGTGATTTCTCGCTTTCTGCCTCTCTTTTTCTCTCTGTCTTTCTGGGAAGTGCATGCGCCCTATAGTAAAAACCTCTCTTAAAGAATAAATAAATAAAAATTGCAGAATTGCAAAATTAAATGAGTGAGTTACAAGAAGAGCTAATCTGGACACTGATCTTTGTGGGGGGCTAACTTTTATGATGTCAAAAGCTAAAAAGATTGGGGATCAGCAGTTACTGTAAAGGCTATGTTGCTGAACTCCCATGTAGTCTACCGCAGTTCGCGTCCCGGACCCAGTGGCTTAAAACTCACGCTGGGCGTGTGTGTGCGCGTGCCCAAGATCCCGAGAGGAGAAAGGACGGGAAGGGATTGCGGTGTGGCCATCCCCCCTGGGGGGTGATTTCTCGCTTTCTGTCTCTCTGTCTCTGTCTTTCTGGCGAGTGCATGAGCCCTATAGCAAAAAAACCTCTCCAAAGAAAAACAAAACAAAACAAAACAACAACAAAAAAGCTAAAAAGATTATTGGATGAAGATCAGTTTTTCTCCATCGTTGCTGAAAACCTACCAAAAGGAAACTAATAAGGTATAGCCAAGGGCTGTAGTGTCATCGTCAACAAAACTGCCCAGACCCTGGATAGAGCCAAATGCTTTAAACGATTTCTCAGTTATGCATCGGAAATACCATAGGGTAAACAGTGACGGTTGTTATTTCTATTGTGTCAGTTCCAATGATAATAATAAAAAAGACCAGCAGATGGCATAATGGTTACTGGACTCCCACGTGGCCGACCATGGTTTGAGTCCCAGACCCAGTGGCTTTGAACACACCCGGAGCATGTGTGCACATGATTTTTTGGATTTTTCCTGAGAGAATAGAGGAGAAGATTGCGGTGCGGCCATCCCCTCTGGGTGGGTAATTTCTCTTTTTCTGTTTCTCTGACGAGCATACATTCCTACAGCAGAAATCTCTCTTTTAAAAAAATAATAATAGTGGAAGTTTACAATAAGAGAAACAAGTACCAAAGAAACACTAAGAGAAATAACTAAATCATAATTTTTAGGCTAAGATACGTATGTGGACACAAAACTTATCCCACGTGGCCGACCATGGTTTGAGTCCCAGACCCAGTGGCTTGAAACACACCGGGAGCATGTGTGCACATGATTTTTTGGATTTTTCCTGAGAGAATAGAGGAGAAGATTGCGGTGCGGCCATCCCCTCTGGGTGGGTAATTTCTCTTTTTCTGTTTCTCTGACGAGCATACATTCCTACAGCAGAAATCTCTCTTTTAAAAAAATAATAATAGTGGAAGTTTACAATAAGAGAAACAAGTACCAAAGAAACACTAAGAGAAATAACTAAATCATAATTTTTAGGCTAAGATACGTATGTGGACACAAAACTTAATGCTGAAGTTCTCTTCAGCCTTGAGGAAAAGGGATGCATCATCTCACCAGATAAAAAGGACATTCATTTGTAAAGGGTCAAAATTCTTCAAGCTGTGTGCTTTAGGATTTTTTTAAAGAGGTTTTTGCTATAGGGCACGTGCGCTCGCCAGAAAGACAGACAGAGACAGAGAGACAGAAAGCAAGAAATCACCCCCGGGGCGGGGGATGGCCATGCCGCAGTCCCTTCTCCTCCATTCTCCTCTCAGGATCTTGGGCATGCACACCCATGTGCCCAGCATGAGTTTAAGCCACCGGGCCCGGGACTCGAACTGCAGTCGACCTCATGGGAGTTCAGTGACATAGCCATTACACTAACTGGAAGTTTTTATAAAAAGAAAGGAGACGACTCACGGGGTGTGACTTGCTCAAGATCATGGCAGTAGTTAATGACAGAGCTGACAGTGGAGCCCATGCTTCCCGACTCCACAACCATTGATATTTACGCTGTAGTTCTAAGATGAGGCTTCTCGCAAAAGGGATGGAACGTGCTGTGGAAACCCTTCGAAGTCACACTGACCTCTGTGCAGAAATGCTCGGCTGAGCATGAGAATGCTTTCTGGAAGGCTCTCCTGGGCATGGACTCTGGGAGGCAGAGGCCACTCCTCAGGGCTGAGTTCCAGTTGGTAGCACCCTAGTGACCCCCACTGCCTGTGAGCACAGAGGCCTGGGCCAGTGAGGCTGCGTGCCCAGGAAGGACTGGGTCCCCATTCTGATCTGCTTTTCCAGGAGGCACACACTGGAGTCCAGGACTGGGCTGCAGAGAAGCTGGTCCTCGGGGTTGGGGGCAGGAGGGCCTGTCTGAAGGGCAAGCAGCACGGTGAACACGGGATGGGTCTCTAGTTATGCCTCTCTCAGCACCCTCCCTGAGAACCTGCCCGCTCGGTGTCAGCAGGGCTGGCAGGGCCTCCTGACATAGTAAACAAAGGGAACGGGCCTTCAGCTCTAGTAGAGAGGCTCTCTGCTTCTCCCCCAGCCCTGTCCAGTCCTCAGAGAAGCTGTGGCCCTGGAATTTGCACTGCTCTCCAAAGAGTACCTCGTGCCTGGCTGAGCACGGGGCCTGCGCTGGCTCCACTCTGGTAGGTGTGTTAGGTCTGTCCCCACTATCCCTGTAGTCCTGGCAAGGGTTCTGACCTCTGCAAACAGAACAGCCCAAAGCAAGGGGTGCGCTCCACCAGACGGACAGCAGCAAAGGGACAGGGAGTACCAGAGGCCACCGAGGCTGCAGCGCTAGGCTCAGGGAGGACACCTGAGTGGTGAGTGCTGCTCTGTTACTAATGAACCACGTGGGCTTCTAAAGACCATTTCATGTCTCCAAATCGTCAGCTTCCTTGTCCCCAACAAGGATGTGACTGAGCCTTCCATAGTTCCCAGGGGCTGCTGGCAGGAAGGTGGGAGCTAACGCACCTGGCAGTGCTTTGTGGACCCTGAGGGAGGCTCAGGGATCTCCCCTCGATTAGCCTCCTGGTTCCCAGTGCTGTGGTGTCCTGCCAGAGTTCAGTCTTGAACTGCTTTTTACCCAGTTCTTGGCTGAGACAACCGATGACCAAGGAGCCATTTCTGTGTTCACAGCGCTAGGCAGCACCAGAGAAAGCCAGTCCCCATACCCCCGGGCGTGACAGGGGAACCGTCTGGCCCTTATCAGGGGTAAATATAAGAACCCCAAGTGATTCAACTTTTACTGACAACCGAGAAGGATGCTTTCCACCACGTTGCTCCCGGACCTCTGTAAAGACAGCTTCTGGCAAACTCTTGGTATCGGGCACCAGGAAAACTGGACCGAGGCTCGTGAATCAGCTCTCCCCATAACCCACGGCATCACCATGTGTTTGCCCCCAGTGGCAGGCAGCAGGCCCTGACCCAGTCAAAGCTCAGATATTTCAAATGTTCATGAATGGTCTAATGGCACGTATTATGATCAGCAACCTCAGTTTTTTAGGTAACAGGTGAGATGTGCATGTGGTAAGTTAACTAGAAGTAAACGCTGGCGAGAGGCAACAAAAACATAATAATAAGGAAACTGGGCCCACACCTTACTAATTGTGTGCCCCTGGATAAATCGCTTATCTGGCAGAATCTCTACTTGCTTATCAGTGAACCGGAATCCTGACGCCTGACACAGTCCAGGGTTGAAATGGGCAATGGCTAACACGATGCTATCCAGTGCCTGGTCTTAGTACTAAAGGCCTCTTTTTCCTCCCTTTCCTG